CCCGGTCTCTGCTCCCACCCTGCCCCAGGCACAGGACTTTTTGGAGACTGGAGGTGTGCTTGTTACTCCTGTAACTTTACTCTCTGCAAAGACTGAGGAAAAGAATAAAAATCACTAAAGCTTTAGCAATATTTCAGAAAAATAATCAGCAATAAAATTTGCTGTTCTGTTTTAAACATTTGTCAATCTGCTGCTTTTAGGGGGTTTTTTTTAAGGTTGTATCAGTTCACCTCTATCCACTCTGCAACTGCAAAATACCACGAGCAACCAGCCCCTCATTAAGTCCTGGCTAACTGCAAACACCGGCTTCTGGGGCTACCCAGCTGAAGCTTTGTCCTCCAGCTCAAGGACTCCCCTGACCATGACCTGCTCCCCTTCCTGCTCCTTCTGGGGTCCCACCTCTGCTCCTGTGGGCTACCCCTCAAAGCTCAAGTTAGCCCCCCCTGTAATTTAGGTGTTCTGCAAACACGACCTGCGGCCACAGCACGTTCTAGTCCCAATTACAGCTCTTTTTACAAAGGTTAAGTGCTAGGCACATTATGCCTAAAGCTATCCTCAGTAAAAAACAAACATACCTCTCATTGTAATTTGCTTTTTAGAGATGTGGACAAATAGAAATTTCTAATTTCCAAAGGTTTAGTCTCAGAGCTGAAAGAGTTGTTATTATTGTAGACAAAACTATGCAAGGGAGTGTCTGCAAGGGCAGCGTGGGACAGAGCAGAGCCTGCAGCTCCAGGCAATGTCTGGGTGATGTGGGAAGGCATTCAGCTACCTAGCTGGGAAGTGGCAGGTAGAAGAACTCAAGAGGAAGGTGATTAAAGTCCTCTCAGAGGAAGCATAAGCTTCTGCTTCTCCATTAGTCCTTATTTGTCCCCAAATACGGCACAAAGCAAGTTGCTCATGTTAAGGGGAAGAATTTTAAAAAGGATTTAAAAAAGCCAACAGTGTCCAGCAAAGTGCACAGCAAGCACAGTCACGTTTTCCAGCGTCAACACGCGCTTCGTGTGCCCCACTTTCTAATGCTCCAGGTCTGATTTTCAGAAGCACTGAGCGTTCAGGCCTCCCACTGATTTAATCTGGAACTGCAGACTCTCTGCCCCTCTGAAGAATCAGGCCGAAGGCACCCTGCTGCCCAGGTCACCCCAAGCCAGGTACTGACTTCAAAAGGTTGTCCTACAAGCCAACTAAGAGCAACACCTTTTCCCCCCCCCACTTCAGTGTTATAAGAGAACAGAAATAGCCTAAAGAGCTCCAACAGATGGAGGAGGACTTTTGATTAAAAAAATCAATTCTGACTCACAATTCAGTTTTCTGGATATAATAAAAAAAAAGCACATGAATATGAATAGCACTGGAAAGAATGGAGTGGAGATAAAGGGAGGTTATAAGGAAAGGCAGTGAAACAGCTGAACTGATTTACCTACTTATTTCTACTGTCTGTCAGGGAAATTCTCTTTGGCTTTGCTGTAGTGCTGATGAAAGAAAACAAGACCATTAGTGGACTCACAAAATGTTCCTGTGACAGATTCCTTGGAAAAATCCTGCTGGCTGAATGATACTTTTGAAAAATACTTCTACATTGTGCCTGTTAACTTAAAAAGGCGGAAAAACTTCTTCAGCTAAATAGTAGAGCTGCACAAGGAAGTCAAGATTGTTTTTTCTTCCCTCAACTCCTTCTAAGTAAAAATTACAAGTAAGAATATGAAATACCATCAAAATTGCACACCTGTTGGTGTACAGCCTGGGAATATAGTTGAGCAAGTTATCTCCAAGCATTCAGGCCTCATTTCTACATTTTAGTGTAAATGGGAAAATGTGTAACTAACATCCTTGACTTCTCCCCAACTCTGATTTCATGTTAAAAGGACCCGCAGGGCCAAAGTGGCTGCAAAAAATACAACTTTTCCAAGGCTGTGCATGGGTAGGGCAGTTCTTCATCAAATATCTTAAAAACACAGCACTCTAATTTTAGAATCAGTCCTCCACAAGCTTCCTTTATGACAGCTATTCTGGCCTTATAATCACATCAGCGGTGGCTAAGTATCTTGAACAAGGACAGAATTTGAAACACACAATATGATTAAAACCTACATTATCGCTGATGCAACATCCCAGAACCTATAATTGTTCTTGGGCAGGAGGAAAGAATCTAATTAAACATTTATTTAATATTAAAATACAAACTAAAATATCAATGTTGGACAGTAAATCAGCAATATGCCAACTAGCAAATGTATATTTTTTTTTTCACTAAGAAAAATGCATGTCTGTTCACAAATACAGCTCGGACTGGATTTGGA